GTGGCGCGCTGCCCGTCCTCCTGCCTCGGCGGTGGCAGGGAGGCGGTTGGGTCTGTGGGGTGGCGGGCGGCTCTGCGAGGCAGTTCCCCTTCTCCAGACCATGGAACGCTGGCTTTCCCCCGCTCTGCTGCCAGTGCTGGGCCTGAGGCTTGATAACAGCCCGCTTGTGCAGTTCTTGTGTGTTGTTCTGCAGTCTGTGTTGCTTCTGGACTCGGGAGCGTCTGCGGTCTGAGCAGCTACAAAAGCAAACCCAGGAAACAGCCTCTTCGTTGGAGCGTTTCTACTGATGGTAGAGCGCGGCTTTTAACGTTGCTTCGCAAAGACGGCCGTTAACGTGATTAATCCTGCTTCAACTTCATGCACAGAACTTCAGAGCAGAGCTGAACTATAAACAGTAGAAAACTATGCTTAAATCAGGTGTTTGCAAGGCAGAGGCAGGCGGTGCGAGTGGCAGGGTCTGATTTCTGGCCCCTGTGTTGACATACGACAAATGTCCTGTGGTTGTTGGCCCAGGCTATAGGCACCCAGGCTTGCTGAGGCTCATCCTGCATTTGTAAGGCCAGGAATAAGGGGTGTGCTTGAAGTTTGCGACAAAGGTAATGAACGAAGAGGACGTGCTGCATTTTGGGAGTTTCCTTCTGGAAATCTTAGAAATATGGTTATTGAGACAACTTCCAAGTATGGATATTAAAAAAGAGGTGACTGGTGCTGCCAAGCCTGTACAAACCAGGCTTTGTGGCAGCGATGGGAGGGAAGGCGCTGGGATAGCTACGTAGGTTAGGACGTTCTTTTGCTGGTCTCTAGCATATATGTGCTAAATGGGAGTAAAACGCAATGCAAGCCCTACTTTTTGCTTAAACTGTGCATTTATACTAACGTAAGCGCTGATGTCATTACATGGGTTAAAACTTCCCTGCTCTGCAAAGGGTGCTAGATTTTTGGAAAGCTGGGGAGAAGCAATTTATTGAGTGGTGGCCAAGCGCATGAAATTCATTTCTGGTTATTGGTACAGTACTTTGTCTGCTTTGACTGATGGGAGCTCGTTCTCCTGCACGTGCAGGAGGTTAAACTGGTTCCACTTCTCTAGAGCCTGCTTCTTCCCTAAGCGTAACTGGTAGCAGGTGTGTACCATGATACGTGGGTAAAGAAGGCTGCCTGGGTCGAGCAATTGCTGGTGAATGCAGGTGCCCCAGGGGAAAGTATCCACTTGAATTTGGTTTTTTTGTATGTTTTTAAAAGTTCTCATTCCACCTCTTTCTGTCTTCAGAAGCAGGCGAAGCCCAAGTAACGTACCTGAAATCCCTTCTCACGTTAGAATGAGTGGGCGCTGGAGGAGGTGAGCTGGCGCTTAATGCCTGACCTATGCCTTGCGCTTCCCCGCGGGGAGTTAGGAGCAACGGATAGGGACAAGCCTGGGGAAACACAAAGCAAGAAGAGGTGGAATCTGTACTCAAGCCTTTGGAGGCACAGCCCCTTCGAAACCATCCCTGTTCATAGAGAGGGGTTATTGTCCTCTGTCTCCGGTACATACCTGTGTGTAAGCTCCTTTATGTTCTGCAGGCCTTACTGCTCCTGTAAGTGAGCTGGAGTTACTCTCTTTTGCAAAGAGACGCTGTGAGAGAGTGTAGTCGTTGCACCAAGCCAAGAGGAGAGGAAGAAAGAGACAGGAATTACTTAAGCTGCTGTTTGCCCTGAGAACAAACAGTTCCAATTGGGCTGTGAAGTGCAAATAAGGTTTCCAAATCCCTGAGGAGTTGCATTTGCAATAGCTTTTGCAATAAGAGTGCTGGGGACACATCCCCCCTTTCTGGTTTTAAATGAGAGTTTGAGAGGTGGTTATTTGACATGGCAGCTTGTGATAGGAGAGGATGGGACCAGTGACCTCGGACCTGTGTCTTTCTCGGGCCTGGGATGGGGAGAAGAGTCCTTGGTTCGCATCCAGGCCAGGTTCAGGATGGAGATGATCACGGAATGGCTGCTCAGGGGACTCTGCAGGGTGATTATAGCGCTTGGTCTGTTTCCCGGTTTGCCAGCGTCATGTCACAGAAGCAGCTTTGTGTGGATCCTGGTGCACGTTCTTGTTGGCTGGTGACTTTGGGTTAAACTTGAATGTAAATTCTTGGCTCCTCTTGGAGGCTTTTCCTTTTGATTCTGGCAAGGGGAGGATGGAGGCGCATTCCCTCTGATGTGCACAGAGACCTCTAATTTGTGTTTTCAGTCTGGTGTCTTTTATGAAGTGCTCGGGAAGAGGATGTATCATAGTCAATAGAGTAACTCTGTTTTCTGCGGCGTTTTTCTCGTGAGGGGGAATTAAGCTGCATTATTGCTCTTTTCCAGGGTTCTGCTCTGGCACTGATAGAGTTAACAGAAGTGGAGTCATTTCGATTCTGTGCTGCTTGCTGCTGTGTGTCTTGGAAAAGCCAAATGCTCTGGCAGGCCTGTGTGCTGTGTCCTGGAAAGCAGGCTCGAGCCCTTGGGGTGCGCCCGGTAAAGCTACATTATGGTGGTGGCTTTGACAAAGAGCCCTCCTTCCGTCTGCCCGAGGAATGCGTGTGCTACACATGCCTCGTTTGCTTCTGTCGTTGCTGCCGAGAGGGTGATCTGTCCACGCCGGGGTGGGACAGCTTTGCAGAAATGCTAGCAGGCTGCTGTGCTGCCTGAAGCTGTGGAAGCTGCTGGGAATAGGGATGGCAGAAGGGGATGCTCCATGCAGCTTTCCAGGCTTGCTGCATTCCAGCCAGCCTAAAGGTCTCAAGCAGCGCTGGAAACCCAGTGTGCTAGGAATTATGTGCGCAGTGGGCACCCTGTTCATCCTGAATAGGAGGCAGTCCCTACCCCGAACAGCTAACTGTCTCGAAAGCAAGGACAGATTCAGGCAAAATGCAAACCCAGAAGTGTGCCAAGCGGTAGGCTTGGCAGCATCACTCCATTATCTTCTGCTGTTGGACTGAGATGCTTGGCCTGAAGTGCTGACGCACATATGTAATTTGCCCCTTCTTTAACTCCATGCTCATCTCTCTGGGTGTTTCTTCTTAGATCTGCTCCATCCTCAATCGTGACTAGCTAAACGTAGAGAATTACTGCTGAGTAATATCTGCTTCTTGCTCTGCAGAGTACAAAGTGTTATGTCTGCAGTTCCTCCAGCTCCTCTTCACGTGTAGAATAAGAGCCTGGCTCCAGGAAACACAGCATTTGGTGTTGCAGTGCAAAGCCATGTGTTAGGCTTACAGCTACACTGAATTTCTGGCTCTCCCTACCTCTGAAGTGTACATAAATACACCAGAGTGGAAAACCCCTAAGCCTTCGGTTCTGCATTTTATGTATTTTGGGACAAGATGAGTTAATGCTTTGATATGGAAACGTAACTGGTATTGTTCCTGTTTCTTACTAAATACCGGTCTAATGCTTTTGGTCTAGTGTTTGAAACCACGACTTTGATTGTTAAAATCTGGCATCCCTGAGGCATAAGCACAGCTACGAAGATGGCTCTTTAGACAAGTCATTCAATGCAAGGCTGCTGTGAGCTTCAAAGGCGCTGAGCAAATTTCCCCTGGGAATGACAGGGCTCAGCACTTTTGCATATCCGACTCTCAGGTTCTTCATATCACTGTACAGGGTAGGGTTGGTGCTGTTTAGGGGTGGCGTATGAACTGGCTGGGGAGGAAGAGAGACCCAGCTATCATTTTGAAAAGCTTTTCAGGGCAGCTTGCCCTGAAGTGGTTTTGTTTTCAGAGCTGGTGTTTGTAGGGTTTGTTCTGAAGTCGCTAGAAAGAATGAGCATGTCTGCAGAAAGGGCGGCTCTTGTTTTCTATCTGTAGGTGCTGTTCTGTGCTTATAATCAGGGTCTGGACTGTGCTTGGAGGGGAGGAGGAGTTTGGAGTGACTACTTTTTGCTTGTCTTTTGACGTTAAACCTTGCAGAGAGAGACTGTAAAACATCAAACCTTGGTTTGTCTCTCAAAATATCAGATAGCTGCTCCTCACTTTACTACGTTGTTCTTCCCTGGCTGTAGGCATTGGCTCCTTGATCACTGGGGAGAGAGCAAGGCTGGTTTGCCAGCCTGCCTCTGTGCAGAGCCTTGGACCAGAAAACATGCAGCAGCTTGGGGAGACGGATCTCCCTTGAGGAGCTTGCCAGTGGAAAGGGGCTGGGAGTCAGCAGGGAAGCAGGTAGCAGTGAAAAGATGGGACTGGTTGAAGTAAAAAAAAAACAAACCTGCTGCACCCTCCAGAAAAGGTCTTACGAGCTGCCCTTTTAACAGTGATTTCTCGCCTGTCTTTGGTGATCAAGAGTTGTTAGGGATGAGTGCAACAGAAATAAAAATTACATTAAACCAGGAAAAGACGTCCTGACTTAACACAGTCTGGACACGGACAAAGATTTACCAGAGCATCTTTAATCTCTGAAATCATACAGTTAAAAGTAATTATTCCTTTAGATTTATGTTGATGCGTGGCTCTTACGGCGCTATGTCCCTTTGGGGGTTTTTGTAGGAGAACTGTTTGTGTAATCTCTGTTCTTAACAAAATGAAGTAGCTACCAAGAAAGATCGTGGAGGTGACATCTACTGGGTGTCTTCACACAGATTAAATGAGATGGTGCATTCAGGTCAGTGATGTTCTCTCAACAGGGGCTTGCTCTAGCCACTGAGGCAATGGCATCTTCAGCTATGTATTTATAACTCTGATAAGGTCTTTGTTTTCAGCACAGTGGTACAGAGCATCTTCATGGGAAGATGAGATGACAGTGTGAATACCACAAACTAAAATCATGGATTGAGCCCTCTTTCTTCCTGTGGTGTGTTAGATACGTTTAAAAAGCAAGGAGGTCTGAAAGGTGGTTGGCTCTGCATGCTTTCTGAATATAGTTGTATTTTTTAATACTCTCAAACTTCCCTCTGCAAACTCTAGACCTGAAATCTTTATATTTTATTTATTTTTAAAATGAAAACGGAGCTTCTCTTGAAATCACATGACTCTAGAAGCTTGAGATTGATAAAAACCCCATGATTGCTATGGAAACTGGTAAAATTGCAACACGTTATGCCTCCTTTTGTCCAGTCATTGCTTCTCCACGGGGTCTCTATGGGTGCCTCAGACTCACGTAGCTGTCCCCATGTGGAAACGGATGGTCAGCCCCGTAACGAGTCTTGATTGTGCAAGGTCATTCTCTCCAAACCAGAGCGATTAAGGGTTCAACTAACTTTTTTTCTGGTACCTTTCCAGGCTCCTGGTCTGCAGCACCATGCTGGATCCCAAGCCTCACTCTGCAAGTCAGAGGTGAATCCAGGTGAAAGCCAGCTATCACAGTAGGTGTCAGGATGACCAAAGCACGGCTCCTCCGTCTCTCTGTGGTGCTGGTCTCCATCTTCATGATCCTCTTGATCATTGTGTACTGGGACAACGTGGGAACGGCTCACTTCTACCTGCATACATCCTTCTCCAGGCCTCATTCCCCAGGAGCCATCCCTGGTATCACGGCAGGTGAAGACTGGGAAGCCTTGCCAGATGTGGATGAATTTTTGGCAAAGCTGCTTAGTTCGAGCCTGAAACAGAATAGCTCTATCCCCCGAAAGACAGAGCAGCTCCTGGTCCAGGGCTCCAGCAAGCCTGTGGTGAGCAATTTGGAGGAGAACGTGCGGGGCTACGACTGGTCTGCACACAATGACAGAAACAGCTTGGACCAAGAGAAACTGCAGATAGAGAGGCAGAGAACGTTGCGGGAGTTTTGTGCCAATTCCAGCTTCACCTTCCCCACCAAGGAGCGCTCCTTTGATGACATCCCAAACTATGAGCTCAACCACTTGATCGTGGATGACCGCCACGGCATCATCTACTGTTATGTCCCCAAGGTGGCCTGCACCAACTGGAAACGGGTGATGATTGTGCTAAGTGAGAGCCTGCTGAACCAGGGGGTCCCATACCAGAATCCTCTGGATATCCCCCGGGAACATGTCCACAACACCAGCACCCACTTGACCTTCAACAAATTCTGGCGCCGTTACGGGAAGTTCTCCCGGCACCTCATGAAGATCAAGCTGAAGAAGTACACTAAGTTCCTCTTTGTACGAGATCCTTTTGTCCGCCTCATCTCTGCCTTTCGCAGCAAATTTGAGTTGGAGAATGAGGAGTTCTACCGGCGTTTTGCCATCCCCATGTTAAAGCTGTACTCCAACCATACCAACCTTCCCACCTCCGTAAGTGAGGCCTTTGGGGCAGGCCTCAAAGTCTCCTTTTCTGACTTCATCCAGTACTTACTGGATCCCAGGACAGAGAAGATGGCCCCCTTCAATGAGCACTGGAGGCAGGTTTACCGCCTGTGCCATCCGTGCCAGATAGACTACGATTTTATTGGAAAGCTGGAGACGCTGGATGAGGATGCTGCTTATCTATTGCAGCTCCTCAAAGTGGACAGGCTGCTTCGCTTCCCCCCCAGCTACCGGAACAGGACTGCCAGCAGCTGGGAAGACAATTGGTTTGCCAAAATCCCACTGGCTTGGAGGCAGCAGCTCTACAAGCTTTATGAAGCAGATTTTGTACTCTTTGACTATCCCAAGCCAGAAAACTTGCTTAAAGACTAAAAGCGATTGGGCGGTGGGTGTGGGAGGGAACATCTGAAATACCAAAAATGTTTAAAGCCTCCTCATTTTTGCTCTTAACTCCCTTCCCCATACAGGTTGGTACAATGGAATATATTTTTTCTACCGCTTCCCCTTCCGTTTTTGCAATAATGCCAGAGTCCAGGGTATTCCAGCCAGCTGTGCATATGCAAAAAATGCCAGTTTTTTTTGTTATCACTTGTTTTCTGTTTTTTAAAATGTCCCCATGTTTTGCAATGGGTCGCTGCCCTTGGTCACTCTGCCAGCTGTGTCCTTCAGTAGCTTTTTATTAATACTTTTTAAAAATTAATATATTTAAGATATTTAATACAATGCGTGTGGCGTGGCAAAGGAAGGGAAGGAATAAAAAAAAAAAAAGTAAAAGAAAAACCCAAGAAATTATGCAGTTGCCTCTGTGTTGTCTCGGGGCTGCTGTTTCAGAGGTCCGAGGTTTGCAGAGCACTCAAATCTCTTTAGGACCTGGTTTGTCGGTGGTGCCTTCGCCAGCCACGTCTGCTGGTGATCGCTCTGAGCTGGGCTCAAGGCAGATCGGATGGGTCGGTGCCCGATTCTGCCAAACAGCCCTGGAAGAATACCAGTGCTCCGGTGACGAGCGCTGCTCACAGCTGGTGAGCGTGACGCCAGGGTCACAGGAAGGAAATGGTGGTTGGGAGCAGTGATGCCAAGCCCCGTGGGGTGTTTGAGGATGTGCACGTGGCCAACGCGGTACCTCTGCACTGCTTCACTTTTTGGCAAAGTGGTGGTGGGACTTTACTTTCCAAAAAGCTGAGTTTCCTCAGCCCTTGTATACCTTGCTAATGTGGAGCATCTTCTATGACATGTCCCATTCCAGGATGGTGCCTGAAGTTCTTGGGGGTTGTGGCCAACCTGGATGGGCAGAGCGTGCTCGTGGATGGATGTGCTGTCCAGAAATTGGCATCCAGGCTTCACACTGCCTTCACACACACAGCTTAGGCAGAAACACAGGTCACCATATCGCAGCCGGTTGCAGGATGGGGAGGTGGTGTGCTGCTGCGTGGCCTGGTCGCTGCTACATACAGTACAGGTCCCTTGAAGTGTGCTATGTCCTCATTCCTATGCATGCTTTAAGGGGACATGGCAGGGATGCAGATGCTTATCCCTGGAAGAAGAAGATGCGAAAGGTTTCTTTCAATCAGCAGGCGTCAAGGTGAACTCAAAGTTCATTTGCTTTCAGAGTGCCAGCTACTGCTCGTGACGCTGCATCCTCATCCACTGCTTTTCTGTTTATACCAAATGACCGATGCAGATTTAATCATCTGCCTTGCTGGGACCTGCTGCAGGGGTGATGGTTGCCCACTGTGCTAGGAGCATGTGGGCTGCTTCCCAAAGGAAATTAATGCTTTTAGAGAGACTTTTTGTGTCTCATCAGCTGAATCTGCTTCTCTTTTTCTCTCTGAATTGCTCTGCAAAAACTGTCTGCATAGCAGATTGGGCAGGCAACTCTTTTAGAGCTGAAATGCTTAATTATTTCCCTGGGCTGTGGATGGTATCAGTGATGAAGGTCTAGGGTCAGGCCTTGGGAGGCAGCCTTGCATTTTGGGCAGACTTCTTTATAATGGCCTTTTACTCAGTTTCTCTCCGAGACCATCAGCAGGCATGACTTCCCCTCTCGCTCCTTGCTTCCCCAACCTCTGTACACATACATCTTCGTGGCATTGCATGCTCTTCCTAGCAAATATGCTATATCAAGCTTTTTAACCTATAAATGAAAGGTAATTTAGTAGTTGAGCTCGAAATGAATAGTTTGTTTCTCATTGTATTCACACCACTCTCCTGTAATTTCTGCAGAGATATTTGCAGTTTAAATGAGCCTGAAGCCATGATCAGGGTCTTGGTGCTTAACTTTTCACAGCTTGGGGAAAAAGGAAGTGCCTGTTTCTGAGTCATTATTTAAAACTAATAATAGAAAAGTGTTGATCTGTTCAATTTTTTTTCCAGTTACCAGCTAATTGCTGCAAAACAGAAAGATGTTGAGAATCTCATCTCCTGTAATGAGTAATCCCGGGAGTCTCTTGGTTCCTGCAACATTTACGTTTCTTCAGGGTGGGTTCATCTCACTCTTCAAAGATACAGCATGGATGTTTTCATCTCTTGTCTTTACAAAGTGTTTATTTTTTTATCTTTTAATTTAAATTTAATTGATGTTTAGTATGTGTAGAGGTGGGTGGCTGGGACCGTAGCACAGTTGCTGTGCAAACTTCCTTCCAGCTGCTTCCCCTGCACCTCTTGATCTGGTCCTGTCTCTTCCTGCCCCGCCGGCCAGCGCTTGGCCGACGTACCCCTATGACGCCGGCTCGCCCTGCAAACTGGCTGCTGCCTTCTCAACCGCAGTTGTCCCGTGATTCATGGCCATGGCTTGTCCCAGCCAAGAGCCCGGGAGCATCTTTTCAAGTTCACAAGCTGTCAGTCAGTCATCCGGGGCAGAGGAGGAATGGGTTGCAGAGTGTTACCTCATTTTTGGCAGCAGGGTCCTGGTTGTGCAATTGGCAGAGAAGGTGCAAAATGGCTACAAATCCTGCACAGCAGCTGCTCCATGTGATGGGAGAGCGTATCCTCTCCTTATGGCTGCCTTGTAATTTAACAGCAATAGAACAAAAAGCCCTCCCTTCCCTTGCGGACATTGGGTAGAGAGGGGAGACTTTGAATGCACTGACTTCTCTCCTCTCTCCCCATCCAAAGCTGGATAAAGGGGATAAATTCCAGCGTTATGTGCTAATACCACCCTATGTCATGCTAAGGTCCAAAACACCCCATAGCCAAAGTTCAGCGAGCTGCCAGCAGGCTGCCTGCATCCCAATGGCTTCATCAGCCTCCGTAAGAGCTGCAGTCAGGAGGATGGATGGCATAAGGCCACTGAGGGCTCTGTCTTCTGTACTTTCCCTCTTTCACCCCATCGAGTCCAGCAGGCGTTGACATTTAAGACATTTTAATGTTTGTAGACCGATACCCAGCCAACGTGCTGGGTGCTGTTGGCTCTCTCCTCATTTCCCATTGCCACGCGTCAAAGCGCTTGCCGGGAGGAGCAGTAAAGCTCAGATGGAGAGGGTTCACGTTGCAGTGGATGGCTTCTGGGTTCCAAATAGCTTGTTCCTTGCTGCTCTTTTCTTTTGAAGCCCTCCCTCCCCACCATTCCACCACTGTGAATGTATTGTTAAGAAGTCAAAGGGGGTCCAGGCTGCGCTGAGCTTTGTGGTAAGACCACTGGCTTGCCAGAACTGGGACGTAGCCTCTGGCTTTGGGAATGTGCATTTTTTGTGGGTTTCTTGCTCTCTTCTTATGATGTAAAAGGGGGAGGAGTGGGGGGGGGAGAAGGACAAAGAGTTCAATCAGCCATGCTTCCTTACCCCCTGGTTTCCTAAAGGAGCTGGAATTTGGTATTTGACAAATAATAGCAGAATGATTGCAAAGGGCAGGCGGTATGCATCCGTGCTGGCCTGAAGTTAGAAGAGGGCTAAAAATCCTGGAGTGTAGATGGTTATGATACTAGTACTGATTTTATAAGGGGTGGAAAAATGCTTTGAAGTGACCTATTTGAGTCTGAATAAACCTGGCTTTGTCATTTCATGCTTAGCCTGCAAAGTTATGTCCTGTTCCCCCCCAGCTTGCTTTTCCCTGGGGTTGACCACTTGGCCAAAGTCAGCACAGAGTCTCTAACCAGGCAGAACCGATGCACAGATGCAAAAATAACCTGGGGATTGACCAAGCTGTTTCCAGCTGGGTAGAACTGAGACCAGCTTTAGTGCTCGCTCAGCATCGAAGCCGAAGCCTTTACACAACCATTGAACATCGGTCCCTTGCTGTTTGATGCCGGATTCACTACTACAGTGGGATGCGTGTGACCTGGCCCTGCAGACCCTGCGTGCTCCGGGGAAGGACTGTCAGGCCTCAGAGCTCTTTGCTTTTTGAGCAGCGACGTGGCTTTGCCAGGGTATGGAGTGTCCTTAACACATGGGTACCTTTGCATTTCAGTAGTTTTTGCCTTAACCCTTTAATTCACTTGCGGTTTAGGGGGACAAAATTGTAGACCCACTACCCACGGACAACAAAAATTTGCCCTGGGATGACATCTGGGATGAAGTGTTTTGGCTGTGTGTTTTGCGTCCCTCAAGGTGGCACTGGGGGGATGGAGGGCAGGGGATGAATGGCAGCGTTGAAAGGGTGGCGAAGAAAAGCTAGTTTGTTCCTTCTTATGTAAGCTGGACTTCCGCGGCAGCCCGCGGTGAAAGCCGGTGACTTGGCAGGGTGCTGCGTGGCTGTGGTGCAAAACAGTGCCAGGGAGGGTGTGGGGTGTGGTGACTTACAAGCAAGTCGTGTTGCTTGAATTTAAGGGCTTGCCCATGTTGGTCTTGCTTGTAAACCCTCTAGTCAAGGGCAGGAGGGGGAAAAAAAAAAAGCAGAATTTAATAAAGCCATCGATAACCAGCTGTTTGGGGAAGAGATGGGGAGGGTGGGTGGTGCTGGGTCTGGAGCAGGCATAATGCAGCTCTTCTGCTCTCTCCTTGATTAAATCAAATTGGGGATTGTGGCGGTGGGCTCCCCCTGCCCTGCATGAGCAATGACCACCAGTTGGGGTCGTCGTGGCTGCATCCAGCTTATGCTGGACTTTGGGGATGGATGGCAACATAGTAGCTAAGGGCTGCCTGTAGCAGTGACCCAAATGACTTGCTGATATGCAAATATGACTATAAGTCAATCATCTTACGCTATAAATAGTGGACAGCCCAGGGCCCGCTGAGCTCTCCTGCACGGCAGCGGGCTGCACGGCGGGATCTCCCCTTGAGTAGGGACACCTCTCGAGGTTACTCCTCGAGGTTTAGAGATTCCTTGCCGCAACAGATCCTCGGTAAGTGACTAATAGCATGCTAAACTTTGAAATCTTAGCTAAGTGATATAAAGGATTGATTGCGCATATATAATCCTTTAGACATAAACCGTTGACCAAGTCTGGGACTAGGATTGGATCCAGCCGCACCTAGACTCCTCTCTGAGAAGTTTAGAAAGCAAGGGGGTCCTTTCTGAACCTCATGACTCAACGGGAGGGTCTCCCTGACAGTTTTGTCTGACCCTGTCCTCTATGCAGTAAATAATCAAGTGTACCTTGCCATCGAATCTTGTTCACTGTCGCATTTACCATTGAACCTTGTTAATTCACACTTTAACTCACTGTTTTCTATCAATAAAGTATTGTTGCTTCTCTCTTATGAGTGAAGTGCAGTCTCACTCCATCCGTGACAGGCATCTAGCTCAGACTGTGGAGGTTGAGGCTTCTCCTTGCAGGAGCTGGGTAGCGTTTGGCCTGGATGCTGTGGGAGAGCCCTGTGCCGGGACAGGAGCGATGCTCAGCAGGCCGG